GGCATCGGATCCGAGCTCACCTCTCACCTCACAGAAAGAGAATGCCACTTGGAAAACCTCATCGGTCAGCTGTTCTAGCCTGGCAAACCTGCCCTGGCTTTTTTGCCCCGTCGGTATCGCGTTCTTTTCACTACCTAGCACCTCTACCAACACAGTAGAATCCGAGAAAGAGGGTCCTCCAACTGGAAGCCGTCTCCAAGCTAGGACACTGTCATTGGCTTGGCATGACAAGCCAAAAGGACGGGAGGGTCCTCTACTCCCCCCCCAGCAACTTCTGGCGAGCTGCAGCGTGCCCGTGAGTTTGCTTGATTGCTCGATATCTTATGGAGCTTGCCTGCGGCTTGCTGACTTGTCAATCTCCTTGAGTTTGCCAAGCTGGTTCGCTGCTTGATTCTCGCTCATGTCCACCGACCAGTAAGCTCAACCGGTGTTGTAGCCTGTCATATTGTAGGTAGGTCTCAATCAACCCCCCCGTCCCGGCTTCTTGCAGGTGCAGATCCGGGGTGTGGTTGGTTTCCTGGACCACGAAAGAAACATGAACACCCCAGACGCGGAGAGCTGCAGTCAACCACCACCACCACCACGTCGTCAGTCAGCCAGTATTGGACCCGGTACCAAAGCAATTTACCGAGGTAGGTACTACTGTAGGCTGTACGGTATACCAGTCACCCAGAGGAATGTAAGCTTGCTGACTGGAAGAAACATAGTTCAACTCCAACCGAGAGAGTGAACACCCCCGGCCGGTGAATCATGACGTTGAATATTTCTAATCCATCAGAATCATTTCAACGGCAGCGTTCGACGGTTGAAATCACAAACCCCATATTTTTTCTTCCCCCAGATCCGCTTCAACGTGCGCGCCCCTTTTTCTTTCGGACATCGCGCCACTCGCACATGTCGGCAATGAGGCTCGGGGGAAGACTATACAAGCAAGCGACGCACTCCGTCTATCGGACCAAGTAGAGAGGAAGTCAAGCTACGGATACCTAAGGTACTCAAGCTTTATCCAAGATCGCTACCTTACTTGGCTTCTATCTGCCTAGCTGACTCGGCGCTTGAAAACACCCTCGTGGGCAACACTCAACGCTCGCCCAAACCTTGGTCCAGAAACTTCGCTACAGATGTATCCATCGCTACTCCGTACCTTTGCGGAGAAGTAGCTGCCAATTGCTTGAATCCTTTCAGGCAAGGTCTGAGGCGGGGGAGAGACACCACATGACTGACGCCTTCTCGCTCTGTGCAAGGATCTCCCACCAGTCTGATTATATAAGCCAGCGACTGCTCCACGGGGATGCTCCGTAGCGTGGTAAGGATCGTCGCCTGTCGCATCACCCCACAGCCGAACCGCTCATGTGTCGAGCGCTGGATTGACGACAGACCGGACGGCCAGCTCCGAAGCTTAAGGGTCTTGTGTATTCCGTGATTTGCAATCAGTGAGCTGATGTCTTCACAAACTTCCCCATGTTGCATGCTTTTGGAAATAAGGCTCAAGCAATGGAGTGCCGGTCATGTACTCTGTATGCCCTTGCAAGTAAAAAGTCTAGATCCGTTACTTTGTTTTAGGCTACTCCTGATTATGTGTACTGTGAAATGAGGCCAATTTTCGCCTAGCGCCGCTCCCTCTCCCCCAAACGACACCCTTTGACAGTAGAGGTAAGCTCCCATCTGCATTCCAGGTGTCTCGTAACTCGAATACAGCTTGTGATATCCCTCGAAGAATAACAGCCAAGCCTCAAGAAAGTGGTTTAACGCATCCATGTGTTTCTATGCGACTTCCTCAACCATCTTGCCAGTTTTCAGACCTGGAGGTCCAAACACCTTGCCAGTCGGCCCTCCGATAATTTCCTCAGGAACAGCAACGATGCTGCCCTTCTTGGAGTTGACCCAGCGGACAAAGGCGACATCCGGCTTCGATGAGTCGCCGCCGGGCGTGTCCTCGCCATTGGCTCCCTTGCCCTTGGTCTTGGGCGCCTGTTTCTTCAAAAGCTTGTTGATGGTTTCCATCTATTGTTTGGCAGTTAGCATACGCCTGCAAATGGCCCAGTCATCCGCAAACAATAATAATACTTGCCTTGACTTCTTCGTTGCGCTTGTCAGACAGGTTGCGTCGTCGACGTGCCATTTCTGCCCTTCTCATAGATAATTCTTCAGCAGTGAAGACTTTCTTTGCTTGGACCTCTGTTGTAATTCCATGTCAGTGTTCTGCTTTTCGTCAGGATGCCTCGCAAAACAGCGCATTCTTACCGTCTGAGAGTTTCATATACTGCTGAGGCTCGTCCTCGAAGCGAGCCCGCTGTCTCCTCGTCATCTTGGTCAAATCGGGTGTGCCCTCACGACTGCCCAGATCGCTGTCGAGCTCACCTTCGGCATCCACTCCCACAGTCTCGTCTGCGACTTCAATCTCCTCTTCCTCCTCGCCCTCGGCGTCTTCTTCCTCGCCTTCGGCATCTTCCTCTTCGCCTTCGGCATCCTCTTCTTCGTCTTCCTCGTCATCGTCGTCGTCATCATCGTCGTCGCCGGCGCCTCCAACATCGATGCTCATGTTCATCGTGTTCTCAGGGTCACTGACTTCAATCTCGCTGAGCTCCTCCTCGTCATCGTCATCGTCCTCAATCACCCTCGCCGCTGCTGGTCGTCGAGGAGTAACCTTTCCAGCCTTGGGCAAGGAGATCTTGATGGTGGGGGCCGCAGGGGTGTCCATGTCGATGTCGCCATCGGCATCTTCCTCCTCGCCCTCGGCGTCGACTTCCATGTCGTCGTCATCGCCATCCGCGTCAGGCTCCTCCATTTCCTCGTCTTCGTCTTCCTCCTCCTCGTCGCTGTCGGATTCTACAACGTAGCTCTTCTTTGGGCCACGGTTGCGTCTGCCGGCAACGACCTCGCTGTTGACCGAAATGCTGTTTCCCGTCGAGTTCCGCCCCCTGCTGGTGGCCTCGCGAAGCTTGTTCGCGGGTACCTTGACAGTGAGGTTCAGGTGCTCACTTCCTGGTGACGAGGGCGGGCCGCGGGACACGCCCGAGGTCCGGCCATCTGAGCGGCGAGCACGGGTAGACATGCTGCTTGTTCGCTCGCTATCGGCCCAGTCAGTAATTTGTTCTTGCGCCTTCTTGGCCGCCGAGCGGCGCGGTCGCGAAGCCATGTCTGGAAATATGCGTATATGCGAAGGCTGATCTGTCTCGTGGGTTGTCTTGGCAGAAGAACAATGACGCGCGAAGGGGGTTTACGCCACGTATGAGCGGTTTATGTACGGAGTGAAGATGGGATATCTCGGGGTGAAAAGGTTTAGGGTGGTTTCGGGATGATGGTGGGGGAGTTTTTATCCAAGATTGGACGCGGGAGGTTGAATTAAGGTAAGCTCGGGGGGCCGGTCCAGACAAGGAAGGGGAAGGGGAAAGGCGAGGTGGCACTGCTGCTAGGGAATCTGATCCCTTGATACGGGAGATGAGGTAAGGCAGTCAATGTAGTTGGCCGAGATGCAACTTTAGCCCAGGTAGGTTTCAACGCCTCCTTTTCTCAATGAATCGCACACGCACGCGCGGGGCGCCTTTTTCGGTTTCTTCTTAAACCACCCGGGGACTCTCGAGTCTCGACACGGCCACTTTCCCAACAAGAACTATGTCGTGGAACCAAATCGGATTCGAGGAGTGTGCACAACCCCGGCCGATAGAGTCTCTCTTTCTTCTCGAGATGTTGGTTTGCGTATTGATGTCGTTGCCGCTTGCCTCACTTGACTTGGCACAGCAATCCGGCGATGTTGATATAGTGATTTGAAGGAGGAGAGACAAGTACGAGATGAAGTTTGATGGAGGTGCAGCGTGGAGATGTGACGGAGTGACAAGGAAAAAGCTAAACGGAAGAGGTCGCATCTGCGATGGGATTTTGAGCTTACCGATTGATTGATACCTTACGGAGGATAGACGACGCTTAGCCGCAGCAAGCAAGATGGGCGCGCGCAAACAGGCGGACGGCAAGTGGGATGGATAATCGCCTTTTTGGTGGCCTATCGCCCTCACAACTGGATACCAGGCACAGAACAACCTTGCTGGGACGGTTTTGGTGGCTGTGGCCAAGCCAAGCCGCAGAAGGCAGAAAAAAAAGCGAACCCCCTGGAAAATGGGAACTGAGACTTTTGGGATCGATTGGATCTTGTCGCCTCCTGCGCGCGTGCTGCAGCTGTCGCTTCTTCTCTTTTCTTTGCTCTCCTGCGTTTCTTTCGTGTGACGCTTGGTTTCTCAACCCCTGGCGCGTGAGCTTTCGTTCCTGTCCCCCTTTACTTAGCGAGTCCACTCCCCAATTGTCTCCTGCTCATCTGGTACACAGCGACATGAGCAATTGGCCCGGTGCGAGCTTACCTTAATCCCTGGTTGCGCGGCGAGGTATGTCGGTGAAGGATGGCCCAGTTGAAGAGACGGTTGGAGATCGTCGGTGACCACGCGGCAGAGCGAATCGGATGATCCCGATTGAGAGGCTTTATTGGCTTGAAACAGGAGTGAACTCGGTACAGAGTACACCTTGAGGGTGGTTTTCGAGGCGGGCGAGAGATGGATAACGATTGCTATAGTTGAGACGGATTCTCAATGAGCATTGCTTGTGCTGGTCCGGTTCCTACTCACCTTGAGTTCAGCCTTTCACTAGAGCACTGAAGTCCGCTGAAGCGCGCCGGATGTCGAAAACGGAAGCCCCGTTTTGGGGGTGGTCGCCATGGGCACCGTGCATCGAGCCCAGCACCGTGTAGAACTGAAGGGCCTCTAGGTCAGCGAATGGCCGTTACGTGCTGGAACAGTGACCCCCGTAAAGAACGTCCAGCCTCTTCCGTTTCCCGCTTCCCCAGCCGAGGCATGTGGTCATAGGTGCCGAACCGCCGACCCCATCAACAACCCGCCCTCCGGACCAGCGCCCGGCTCATTCGCGATTCGACATTGCGCCAATCTCGACAGCTCTCACAGACACAACGTTCCAAACTTTCTACTGCAACAGGGCGCAATCTCTTTTCACTAACCATGAGCGACTCCGACGACAGCGGTAGCACGCCCGGCATCCCGTCATGGCAGCGCGGCCAAAAGAAAGAACCCGAACTCGAGCCGGAGACCACCATCTCACAAGATGCGAAGCAGGACGATGTCTCCTCCCGCGAAGACAGCCTCGAAGTCGCCCGCAAGTTCCTGCAGGATGATGAGATCAAGGACGCGCCGAGGGAAGCAAAGGAGTCGTTCCTTAAGACCAAAGGCATCTCGCCAGAGGATATAGAGCAGTTGTTGGGTAGCTCGGCATCTGAGCCGGCGCAAGACGTAAGCTTCCCAGCTTCGCTTTTGCCTCGTTTCACGGATTTTCCATGACTGACAACACGAATTGCAGACCACTCAAACAGAACAGTTACCGCCAAGCTCAAGTCAAGTATCAACAGCATCACCAGCACCAGCACACACAACACCATCACAGACACCTTCACCCTCACCATCACCACCGCAAAACGAAATCTCCTTCCCCCGCCAAACAGACCAACCTCCCGTGATAACCTACCCCGAATTCCTCACAAAACCGGCCCGCCCCCCGCCGCTCGTCACCGCAAACGGCATCCTCAACACCCTCTACGCCTTCGCCGGCATCTCCACCCTCCTTTACGGCACGAGCAAGTACCTCGTCCAGCCCATGGTCGAGAACCTCACCGAAGCCCGCTACGACCTCCACGAGACAACCTCCCAGAACCTCGCAAAGATAATCGAGAAGCTCGAGGGCACCGTCTCCGAAATCCCCGCTCCCAAGAAGTCTGCCGCGGCAGGAGCAGCAGATGGCGCAAACAAGGACGCAGCAGACGACGACGCGAGCAGCGCCGACGACCCGACCGAAATGTTCCACCGCGACATCGGCACGCAGACCTCGATCCCTTCCACGCCCTCCTTGACAACATGGGGGGAGAACAAGGGCAGCAACAGCGACAAGGACAAGTCCGCGACGGACAGACAGGCCGACAAGCTGACGTGGTTCAAGAACCAGGCCGCCTGGCTCAAGACCACGGTCGTCGCCGACGCCGACGACGTGGCGGACCTCAAGTCCAAGATGGACGTGCTTAAGGACGACCTCGTGCAGCTGGCGTACCCGAGCCCGTCCGACTACGCCGGGAGCAGCTACTCGCTGTACGGCGGCCCGCGCAAGAACGAGCCCGAGGACGAGATCAAGAAGGCGAGAGATAATATTCGGAGGGTCAAGGGGGTGTTGCTCAGCACGAGGAACTTCCCTGCTTCCGCGAGGTGATTTATCCTTGCCTTGGTGGATAAATGTACCTTTTTGTCAAAGATGCGTTTGGGACACTGGACCGGGGCGGGGTTGGTTATTTATGAGGATATGGAAATCTGTATCATATCAGTGAAAGGCTTATAATGGAACTGAGCGACTTTATCTACTATTGCTGGACACGTTTGGCGCTGGAAATTGGTCAATATGGCGGGCGGTGTATGCTGTCAGCACGCTTATACCTGAAGGAAGCGAAAATAGCTTCACATGCCGACTTCGCTCGCAGCATACATATAGTGACCAAGTCAATTTGTCATCTTCAAAAAGGGGTTGTGATTTTTTCAGTCCCCTATCTCATCCATGCCATACGCTTTCTTGATATCTAACGTATCCATCCCGTATCATGCCTGCTGGAATGCAATAATCACATACAGTCCCTCAGGTCCGGAGTTGCTTTACCTCTGGTATCTAGTCATAATACTCTAAAATGCGACCCCTCTAATTCGCCATCGTACGGCTGAATCGCCCGCACGAGACTACTCCTCTTCTTCCGATTTTCTTTTCACTTTTTGCCGCTCTCTTGCGACTCAGCCTTGCTCTTCTCAGTTGGCAACCTGAGGACTTCAAATACCCGCTGCCAAGTAGCAACGTTGAGGTGCTCGAAATGCCGGTTCTCGGCAACCTGCTGCTGGTACCACTCGGTGGTCGGTCTGAACGTGTAAGGCCACGCGGGACGAGGATTCTGTCTGTCGATATTCATCACCCAGTTGTAGAACAAATTCTCACATCTGCTCTGTCCTGTCGGATTCATGGCTCTGGGCGGGTAAAAGATGATCTTGCTCTCGCCGCCCTGATTTCGATGACCGCCAATCATATCAATATCCATTGAAGAGTCTGTGGCATGAAGCCCGTGCCCAATGGGCGCGTCGCCGGGACAAATCTTGCGGAAACCCCTGCGCAGTAATAAAGTATCAACCGCTGGAAGATATTGCTTGCAGTCCGACATCATCACATCTAAGTTATGGAACGTGACGTCGACTGGCAAGGTATACTCCGAAGGCTCTGTTTCGAACCCACCATACCAGACCTCTAGTAGAGGAAGGCCCCGATGTTTGTCTTCAGATCGCTCCCGTACCATCTGTATAAGGTGCTGCTGTGCCTGCAAGAGTTGAGACTCGTAGACCTCGTTCGCTGTGGAACATCGATCCTTGGCCGCGGTGTCCCAAATAAAAAGCTCGGTTCCTTTCCAAGCCGCATAAGGCTCACGAACCCGCCAAATCGCAAGCCAGGGATGGCGCGGTGGTGGTTTGCTTGGATGATCATCTTCAGGAGTGTAAAAAACCGCGAAGTAGGTATTGAATGTCGGCGGCAGATGATAGGGTGCTGAAGGTTGCTTGAAACGCTCCTGGTAGGATGAGAAGAACGGCCAGGGCCACTCCATCCACTTTTCGAAAGTTGAAAAGTCGCGATGGAAGTCTCCATAAGAGTCAGCTGTGTTAGCAATGTCTTCGTAATAGGAGACAGCAAAGCCAAAGAGCTTCCCAAATGGACACAATTTAGGACGTTCGTTGCGAGTAGCGATTGCCTTCAACTTGCTCAGGAAGTGGTGGCCAGACAAGCCTCCAAGAAGCCTGCTACCTTCACTTTGTGGTCCAAGATTATTGTCGGAACCTGACATGTTCTGACGCGGGCCAGGAACATCGGGATTTGGTTCGGCTCCTCGATCGCGCCCAACCCCAGGCGGATATATGGGAATGTCGCCGTCTTTGATCAGATGGCTATTGTCGGAAGTGCCATCTGTTCCTAGAACGTGGAACTTGCGGAACTGGTCGAAACGAGTTTGGGACCAACAGCCGAACCAATTCACCAAGCTTTGCTCGTCGTTGGCATCAATAGATCCATCAGCAAAGACAATGGCCTCGACCTGCTCATCCGGCACAATGCTTGTGTCTATGGCCGACTGGAGGCCTTCCACTATCGCCCATGTCTCGAATCGAGCTGTGCAATCTTCTTTGCTCAATCCTGCAATTCGTGCTATATCCTCGCGCTTCGACGTTGACCACTGGCGTGTTAGGTCACCATCTGCCATCAAGTCGTCTCGGCGGGCGGATCGCTCATGCGCAAGATCCCGCAAATACTCCCGTAAGCTCGCCGCCGCCACGATCTTTTGGTTATTACTAGGCTTTTGATAGGTCCTATTGTACCACTGAAAGAGTTGGAAGGCACGGCGTGGTTCAGAGACCAGAAAACTTGGGGTAACTAAAATTGCGTTACCGTGGGGGAAAAATCTCGTCAACTCGAATGTGCCCAGCTTTGGCATCTCATTGTGCATAGACCGAATAGATGGGTACGCGGGAGACAGCTGGAGTGACTCCCCAATGCACCAAAAGACGTAAGTTGCACTGCTCTTATGCAAAAGCAGCTTGAGCAAACCAGGGAACTGTCGGAGCGAATCGGCGGCTGCCTCGTGAACAATGATTACTCCTTGCGTAACAATCTTCGGGTTGGTAAAGGCGGCCCAGTCGCCACCCGTTTTAGTTGAGAATATCCTACATTCGGGATTCTCTGAGCGAAGCCACTCGCTCATAGCCTCGAGTAACAGCACCCTAGATGGAGGAAACGCCAGGTAGAAATTGTGGCGTACATTTCGAATGCCGGGGGGCAGAATCATATGGTAGTCGAGGCGTAAGAGATCGCGGAAGATGGCAATTCGCGAAGCTGTCTTTGAAGCGTTGATCTGTCTGATTGGTAAAGGCTTCTTAACAGCCGGCTGGGGCTTGAAGATGACATATTTCAGATAGACGTTTGCCGGGCTGTTGGCTTCGACTTCAGGCATTGTTTGCTTCCAATCTTCGCACCCAGCTGGGTAAATGACAACGAGAAAGTCTTCATAGAAGCACGCAACCCCAAACGCCCCTGATCGGAGCCGTTCTGCTGCTCTCTCCACAGCAACTTGATCGTTGTTTGACTTGGGCCTGACGCTTCCATTTGCGAGTACCCTTTCAATAACAATTGCCCTTTGAGAGGCAAAAGTTCTGGCTGTGAAATTTCTGGCGAAATGCAGCAATTTCTCGTCAACAAATTGAGAATGCCAAGCGTCAGAGTCGGCTCTAACATTATCAAATGTCATTTCAATGTCCTTGCTTCCCGGAGGACCTAAAACGACCGTTTTGTCGTGGTTTTGGCCTGTGCTTCTCGACTTGTAGTCTGTTATTGATAACTTGCGAAGGATAGAATGAGGCTTAGCAGGCGGTTGAGAAGACTGTGACGGATCTGAAGGCATTGGGGGCGACTTGAGTCTTTTTGGCCGAGCAGTCGGGTAGTCCACGTCCATCTCTTCTGGCTCATCGACAAGCGGAACGTCTGCAAACTGAACGGACTTCCTTTTCTTGGTCGTTGGCTGAATAGTCTGGGGCTGACCGAGATTTTGAGGGAGTGACACCCCCGCCCTCTCCGACGCTGTCATACTGGACTCACTGGCTGACCTCGTCGAGAGATCATCGACTGAACGCTTCAGTACGGACCGAGGGATGCTAGCGGTGGTATTGGTGCTCGGATTGATGTTTGTATCAGTAGTGGTTCCAGGAGGAGGCCCGCGGCTGATGCTGAATAGCTTCGTTGGGACTGCCGCGGGAGCCATGTCCGCTTTCTCACGACCTTGTAACTCAGCTTTTCTCTTGAGTCGGTGATTAGAGAAAAGACGAGCATCCTTGTTAGGATCGGCCACGTTCTGTACGAGTTGACGGCGCTGCTTTGATTGCTTGCCGGCCGCGAAGACATTGATGCCCGTTCCGGTGTTCTGTGATCTAACCATTGTCCTAGAGCTCACAGCAGTCTTTTTGGCCCTGTGAGTGGTCCGCGCAGTTGCTGTCGCGCTATTCGGCAACCGGCTGGTTGTCGCATTGTTGACCACCCTGCCCGGCAGAGGCTTCTTCTTGGCTGTTCCTTGATATTCAGTCGCCGCTGCCAGCGCCGAAGGTGGCTGTGAGCGTGGCTGAGGGCTAGAGCTGGATTGTGCCTTTCTTGTTGGTGATTTTGGTTTCTCTGTCGCTGAAGCCCGTTTCTGAGGGATTGGTTCCTTTGCGACCTCCTGCTTAGGGGCGATCTTGGAGGGTTGAGTATCAGAATGAGACGCATCTTCGTTTCGCTCCACAGCCTTTGGAGGGGGGAATACGGCGTTGTAATCATCCTCCCCAACGTCTTCGTCGCTGAGATAATAATCCGCTTTGGTTTCGCCCTCCCATAGCCTAGGCTGGATACCTCGTTTTTTCCGTTCAACGTTGCGCTGGTGATGCCGCTGGTATTTGTCCTCTTGACGCTTGACCACGCTTTCTTGCCAGGCGACAATGTCGAACGGCTTCTCCTCCCCACAAGCTTGCTTTGCTTGAGTGTCTTTCCATTCCCCAATTAGCTCATCCGTCACGTTTTCTTCAGGCTCCCATGTGGCCTCTTCAATGGGGTAACCAGTCCACTCTACCAAAAATTTGTCTCTCCCACCTTCGCGACACTGAGCGCGGATACCCTCTACCAGCCATTCCTCATCGGAATCGTGTTCGGACGCGAGGGTGGAGTTGATGGAGATGTTGTCATCGTCAGGTTGCTTATCATCGGCGACGAAAAGCCCGGAAGCATCCATGGCACGCTTATACTCTGGAAAGCATATCCAGAAGGCACGCGTGAAGGATACGCTGTGGTCGTATGTGTGAACTGTTGCCACAGGTTTTCGACGCACCAAAGGTCGATACACTCAGATGACGATGTGACTCTTGATACGCGAGGTAGCAGGCCTCAGTGAATGCAACCGCACGTTGTACGGGAGCTTGAAGAAGAACCTCTAATACTCGAAGCGCGGAGCTGATCAGGCGAGGACCGAAATTGGTTGATGAGGCAAAGAGCTCTTGTTCATGAATTTTAATGTAGTTATGTGCACTGATCAAAGGTAAGCGATGAGGTTATTCGGGCAAGGTAATGAGGACTAACCGGCGGGACAGAATGCGTCCCTACTCGTCAAGTACCAAAGG